GATAATTAGAAACGCTTTTGCCCCCCAGTTCACTATAACGCTATCATCGCATTAATGCCGGTCGTTGGTTAATTTTTCGATGCACCGATTTCTCTGATCCATTCTACCCCCGTTGCAATCCTGATTGTTTCGTTCGATTAAAAAGTCCCGATCGTTCGCGCGCAAACTTTATAAACGCAGCTTTCGGCGATTCTTGCTATCGATAATTACTCGGTTTCAAGTCGTAATTTAATATGGGAGTCGTTTGATTCGATAGCTGCTTTTTTAGTTTTGCGTTTAATTGCGGATAGTTTCTTCGTTATTTCGAGAACTCGTCGTTTGAAAGTATGATTTCTATTTCGTTGCTATTGGATTTAGAATTAAAGCGAGGTTTTGGGAGCAATTCGATGTGATTAGAATTTTTCTCTGAAATTAATTGTAAGTATTCGGGGGATTTTGGCGAAGTTTCAGAGGAAAAGTTTGATAATAAAATGCATTGGAATTTAAACAAAATGCAATTGCAATTGCTTTTAAAATTAATTGCAAATATTGTAGTGATGTGTATGAACTGCGAATGTTACTGCAAGGAATCGAACTTTTTGAGAGGAAAATTAGATAACCTGAATATTTTACAAAAATTAATCACTAAAATGAAGCTCCATGATTCGTTGACTTTATATAATAGTAAGTTGCTGCATGAGTTCTTTCGAATAAAAAATTATGCAATATTTGATCAGAAAAAATATCAAAGTTACACAGAAGTGAAGTTTTCTAAATTAAGTGAAGTTGCAATAGTAACAAAATGACAACGAAGACAATACTAACTTTTTCAAAGAGAAATTGAAGAGTTTTTCGCACAAAAAGAAATTCGAAAATTTACGATTGTTACAACGTCTTGAAACTTCAAACATGAAAATTTGTGAATGTTCCCAATATCACAGCAACAAAGCTTCGAACTTTTTCAGACTCAAAAAAGAAGTTTCAAAATTTTCTCAATGACTTCTTCAAACACAGGAAGCAAAATTTGTGAACTTCTAAGATTACAGTAGTAACTGAATGGTTATTTCGGTAGAAAGTACTATGATATAAACTTCCTACAAGTCTATCAAGGAAAAGTGAAAAAGATTTCGTTGTGAAAACTAACAAAATCAAACACAAAACTAAAATTTCAAGACTCAAGAAATTAATGTTTCTACAGTAGTCAGAAATCGAAGGATCACTTCAGCAAAAAATATCACTTTATAATTTCTTCTAAGAAAATTAAAAAAGACTTCCTTCTAAAAACGAGCAAAACCAGTCACAAGAATAAAATCTCAAATTTCAAGAAATTAACATTTCTGTAGTAGTCAGAAATCCTAGAATCACTTAGCAACTTCTTCTAAGAAAAATAAAAAAGACTTCCTTCTAAAAACCAGCAAGAACAAACACAAAAATAAAATCTCAAAATCGAAGGATTTCACTAATATTCAACAGCATCAAAGAACATTCCTATAACAAAATTCGCAATCTTTCCCAACAAACCCAAACAAAAATCTCCAATAAATCTATAATAACAGTTAGAATAACAATTAGACGTTAACAGTTACAATTAACTACAGTAACAGTGCTATAACAGTTTCGCCTGACGCATCCAGAAAATAAATCCTACGTCCAAAAGTTAATACAGTCATCGTAAACGATAGAGGAGGCCATAGAAGCAATCGGCAAGCAAGAAATTGCAGTTTCAATTTGTAGAAGACGGCAATAATAAAGGACGAGTTCGTTCGTAAGGGGTTGCAGAGGAGCACGTGTGCGGAGGGTGGCGTCCAGAAAGAGTGACGGTAGTGGGCCAATGCTCGCGAAAACGTTGAGCGACGGGTCCGCCATGGCGAGTTAAGAAATCTTTGATAGCGACGCTCGATAGTATAGCGACGCTGGGCGCCGGCGCCTTTCCCTAGCAGCCCCATTGGTGCCTGGGCCCTCTCCACACGAGAGCCCACCGCTGGGTTTCCTTGGAAACGCTTCGTTCGCTCTGATGTCTACCCTCGCCCACGGAAAACCTCTTTCAATTAGGCAACCAGCCACCCCGATGCTCCCTTCGCTCTTTCTCTTTTGCTGTGTCTCCTACCTTCTCCCTTTATCTTTATTCTGCGTCCACCTTCTCGAACTACCTGCAACTCGCATCGACTTTTTCCCATGATTCTCCTGTTTTTCAACCACTCTGATTAATCATTGCTAAATATTTGAATCCGACGTTCGACGGTACGATGGATATCTTTTTAGGGTTACTTGTTTCTCGATTTGGGAGTTACTTGTTTTTCGAGGAATTTTGGAGATCAGGAGGGGATATATTGATAACTAGGAATTTGGAAATTTGAGAATTTGTGGTTTGGGAAGATTGGTGATGGGGAAGTGGAAATTTGGGAATTTGGGAATTTGAGATTTGGGGATTTGAAGAGGTGGAGACTTAGAATTTAGGGGGGTTGAGGGTTTGGGAGTTTGGGAAGTGGAGAATTGAGAGATTTAGGAATGTGGGAATTCTGGATTTGAGAATTTGGGAAATTATGGATTTGGGGACGTGGGGATTTGGAGATGTGGGAATTTAGGAACGTGGGGATTTGGGGATGTGGGAATTAGAGATTTAAGAATTTTGAGACGTAGAGATTGGGGGGTGTAGGGATATGGGAACTTAAAAATTTGAGGACATGGAGATTTTGATGATATAGAGATTTGGGGATGTAGAAATTTAAAAACGTAGGGATTGAGGACGTGGAGATTTGGGAATTCAAACTTATGTGATTGCCAGAATTTGGAGGTCTAATTCGCGAATATAGAAACTTGAGAATATAGGACTGTATAAATCTAAGGATTTAGCAAATTCTAAAGTTCTGAACTCCTGAATTTATGAACTCCAATATTAACTCCTAAATTTTTAACTTTGTGAACATAAAAATTGGAGACCATATAAATTCACAAATATAAAAATTCAAAAATAAAGAAACTTTGAACTGTAGAACTTGAACAATATTTCTCAAAGAGAGACACAAAGAAGCAGCGTCATAAGCTTTCGAGATCGAAATAAAAGTGTCCGCGTATTTAATAGACCGAATCTGTAAAGTATATTTCTGGACGGCGTCGATCGCGATGTCACGAAACGGGGGATTAACATATGAGAGGCAGTGGGTTTCCTGATAATCGGGACGAAAAAGTATCGGGGATCTGTGCACGAACGTCGCACACATGTCGCCGCTTCCACGTGTTCGAGAACGAAGACGAGCAGAACTGTTTGATATGCAGCTCGACGCTTGGCTTGACTGACGCTTCCAAGTTGCGAATAAAATTTTCATGAATTTCTATTAGCTTCGTTTTTCTAGACGTGCCCCGGAGACTTAAAAAAGCTCCAACCGGCTGACGGTTGGGGGTGGAAACTACCCCCTGTTGGTCAACGAGTATCGGTTTTTATCAATTCCCACTTTAAAGCGCGGTCAACGACGTTCGTTATTTAATAACGACCCAAATACGAAGCTTCCTCCAAATATTCTGTTTATTATCGGCGTTTCTGCTCCTTTCTTTTCGATATTATAAAATTGCAACGCCACAGTAAATTATTTAATGCGTACTTGAATCATTTACCACGTAATAGTGAAGCAAGTGACTAATTTTTTAGTGGGTATTAAATATTAACTATTCGTTGTAATTGATGATAGGTTTATTAGCTGTATCATCGGTTTGCATTTCTGCGGTATATTAATAAATCCGAACGCTTTTTAATATTAATCTTCTGTCATATTTACAGGGACTTATGCATTCGAATTGCATAAAACACGAGCGGAAAGTAAATACACAAATAAGTTGATTAAGAATCAATTATGAAACAGTTGAAGAAAATTCGAAACTACAAAGTGATAAATTATAACTGCGATTCCGTTAATTTATTTTATTATAGTTTTCTTGACTGTCAATTAGAGCTGTGTACAAAAATTTCTAACCTAATAAAAACTTCTGAAATGCAATTTAAAGAAAAATTGCAAGAATTAATCTTAAATTATTATCATAGCAATTATTAATTATTACCATTATCAAAGTAATACCAAACTAATGTGACCTTAAGGAAACCTAATATTAGGAAACTTACTTTTGACACATTTCGGATTCAAAAATATTTTCTTCCCTCAAATAATTTTCACTTACATATTGCAGCGAATAAACGTTCAAAGTGTTAAAATTTCATTAACAGCAATATGGTCATTCCCGTGATCTTTGAAATTTGCTCGGAGCAGGGGAAAGTTTGCAGAAAGTTTTGCGGTTGTCCCGTAGTCCACCAAAATTCCGCACCCCGTAGGGTGAAGGCTTAACGCTACTCCAAGTTTCACTTTAATCCGAAAAGCCACGGTAGGCCGACGGAATTGATTCCGAGACGTACCATTTACTTATGCCTATTAAACGTATCTTCAGAAATCAACATTATTCCTTCAAACCGTATACTCAACATTTTACTTTACAAAATTCTATCTTCAAAATATATCATATTAACTTTAAAAGATATTTGAAATATTCTGTTTATCTTAAAAAATTCTTATTAAAATTTAGGGGGTGATTACGTGTTTATGTTTTTTATTGAAAGATTCTGTTTATGCTAAAAAATGTTTATTAACGTTTAAGAGATAAAGGCAGATGTTATGTACACACATGTTTATGTTTTATCCTGAAATATTCTGTTTGTACTAACAAATTCTTATTAACGTTTAAGGGATGATAAACGCAGATGTTACATACACTTGTTCACGTTTTGTCCAGAAAAATTCTGTTTACTTCCAAAAATTCTTATTAACCATTCGGGGATTATAAATGCAAATATTATAAGTTAAATAAACATCTGCTTATAAGCTTGACACGAATTAATATACCTAAACGCAATTATTACACCTATACACAATTTGAAGGGTGTATTTTATATCAGGGTGTCGAATTTACGTTCCACAAGGGGTTAAAAATGTCGAATCGTAGAAAATTTGAGAGGTAATCTTATCAATGACACTTACCTGCACCCGACTTTCTGTGAGGCCAATTTTCACAGCAATTTCCTCCCTGAGGAAAATGTCCGGATAGTGGGTCCTGTTGAAACACCTTTCCAACTCGTTCAACTGAGCTGGCGTGAATCTTGTCCGATGTCGTTTCTGTTTGGCGGGTTTGTTGTCGCCTTGTTCGATCGTTCCCGTGTTTCCTGTAATATGGAACCAATTTTCAATCGTACTTTGAATTTTGTAACATGGCAAGTTGCGGATTTAAAGATTAGCAACTGTGTAAACATATTGCATTTACTAACATGGGATTATTTGGAGAAGAGGGATGATGGAGTAACTCGAAACTTGGAAATTTGAATGTCTGCAAACACAATTTACAAAATTAAGAATTTAGAGACATTCCAAAAAATTGAGAACCTAAAACATGAGGGGTGACTTGTTAACAATACATAAATGAAAAATTTGTGAATCTGGAAAGTGAGGGATGCAGAGACGCTCCGAGAATTTAGTAGTTTGTGAAACTCCGAAATTTGTGGATCTGAGAAAAATTTGTTAATTTAAGAATCTGAGAAAGAAAAAATATAGAAACCTAGTAATTCAGAAGTTGAAAGAAATTTCCAAATGTAAAAATTCAGAAAGGTTGTAAATACGAAAATGTAGAAAACTAATTTAACTTTAACAAGCTAAAATAAAATAAATAAAGTTTAGGAATTATACTTTCCACGAAGCGTAAAATGGCAGGAAACCTCCCTTGAATTCTCGAGTATCAAACCAAGCGAACGTATTCTATTACCGCGAGTATCTCATCGACACAAACTCCATTTCCTCAAGTACATTCGCGCGCGAATTTGAAAATGTATCGAGCTCCGTGTCACCGACAAAGTCAGTCCGGAGGGGCGGAAAAAAAGGAAGTAAAAAACACAGAAAAGAGAAACGTTTCAACACGGTAAAACGCTTACCCGTGTCAGGCACGGTCATGATTAATTCCCGATGAAGCGTGAGGTTGGCAGACAACCCGGGCCCCAAATTCACTCCCATCACGGCGTACAACTTGTCGTGCCTCTTCGGGTCCTGCGCATGAAGATCCTTCGCTCCTGCGAATGCGAAACGTGAAAAAAATGAGCCATTACAGTATCTCCCGGAGGATCCGCCGCCTCACAACCTCTCACTCCCTTTTTTCGCTCTATGTAGTTTAAATTTGTATAGGAGCAGAAGCTGGCCGGTCGGTGGTGAGGGGAGTACGGACCACTTAGCACGGAGGTGCGAGAATCGTCACCGGCCTCCGGCTTCTAGGCGAGCAAACACACACATCCAACTCTGTCTCGTGCACCTATGGACACGTGTTCGTGCGAACCGATCGCGTATTGGTCGTAGAAAATTTCTAGAATGCGTGGGAGGACTGTTCGCCGACGGAACCGTGATCGAGCGGCCATCGCGCTTTGGACGACTCAGACTTACGTAAGCCTGTAAACTAGTTTCAACCTACTAGGGATTTTCTGCGATTGTAAGATGGGAGACAGAGCTGGATCGCCGGTGAATTTGGACGGATTTATGGAAGAGGTGGAAAGGAGATCGCGGAAATGGATGGTCTCGATTGGCCTCAAGCTTTGAATTTGGTTGAAGTTGGGGTTGCTTTGGAAGTTAACCATTGTTAAATTGATTAATACTTCAATTCCCTTTTCTCATTTTTCATCATATATAATTGAGAAACTTTATCTTGAGAAACGTTAGGAAAGACAGAATGTCTTAAGACAATATATTTTTGGTATCAATAATGCTTTAATATGTTATCAATACCCTACTGTTTTATACAATGATTTAATATAATCCTAAATAATAACGATATCTGTTATGCTATAAACGTGAACTAACTAATGTAACTATTATATTAATACCTCTGAAATTTAGTGTACCCTAAATACTATCGTACTGTCAGTACATATGTCAATCAGGTTTGTATCATCCCTCAATTGTGAAAGTAGCTAAAAAGCTAAACCTTCAAATTTCTTCAGGAACATCCACAAAGTCATCATACTTAGTTCTGTTGAAAACAAACCTGACCATATTTTATTCTCTTACATGTTCCCTGTATTTGACAAAATCAACCCTCGACACAATATAATTATGTTCTACAAAGTACTCCTATAATAATTTCACTGTGTGCTGTAATTCAAAAAATAAAATTTGTCAAAAATAAAATTTATGAAAATCACACGAATTCTCAAAACTCGCAGTTAGGTTCCGCAGACGCGGTAATAATACAATCGAATCTCCCCTAACAGATGTTAATTAGATCTCTGTGTAAATTAAAATTCTTCCAACGGATCTTGACAGAGAATGGCATGCTGTCATCCCTTAGAAGGGTGAAAAATAAAGGTACGTAATACCCACTCTGTCGAGAAATTTGCATAATTCATAAACGGATCGTAGGTCACGGATAAGGGTTAACAAACCGAACATTTCTTTCGATTTCGCGTAACCAGTTAATTAAGCGTGAAACGATACATCAAGCGTTATGAAGTCACAACGAAACGATAATGTGCTAACGAAGGAATTTTATCGGTTTCATAAATATGCCACGCGAGCCAGCAGTTTTGCATCGATATTTTATAATCCACCCCTGTTAATAATGATTCATTTTCGGCGTCTGCGAGCTCGTGTTCGATATGTTTAATACGATCATATGCGCATAACAACGTTAATAGTCCGATGTTTGAGGTTCTTCGAAATATCGAAAATAGGTGTTGGATTTTCTGTCGAATATTTTTGGGGAGAATCGTTTGTACGGGAACTTACTATCGTTTTCGTTATCATGGTTATTTAATAAATGAGTGGTTTACCGGAAGGGTGATTTCGGTTTCTTTGTTAATTGATTGCGAGTTAAAATTTGATGTTCGATGGAAGGTGAAGCTGTGTGTTGGATTTAAGAATCGGAAATTTAGGAATTTGGAAAAGCGGGTTGTTGGATGTAGGACAGTTTGGGAATTTGGGAAGTAAGGATTGGGAAATTTGAGAGTTGGAGTTTGAGAATTTGGGGATTTGGGAGTTGGGGAAATGTAGATTTCAACATTTGGGGATTTGGAAGTTTGCAAATTGGAATTTGAGAATTTGGAGATTTGGGAATTGGGGAATTGTGGATTTCATAATTCGGAAATTGGAATGTGAGAATTTGGAGATTTGGGAATTGGGGAATTGTGGATTTCAAAATTTGGGAATCTGAAAATTTGGGAATTGGAATTTGAGAATTTAAAGATTTGGAAATTGGGGAATTGTTGATTTCAAAATTTGAAAGTCTGGAAATTTGGAAATTAATACATCTATAAAATAGATTACGCCCAAATCTAAAAATTCCAAAATTCCCAAAAAAACCACTCTAAAATTCAATCCATAACAATTCCTGCACCTGCTCCATAAAGGATGAAAATAATTAAATTAATTCGAGAATTAACCTTCCTAAAAAATTACATAGTAATTGACCAATAAGTGATCAAATGTATCGAAGGATCGTAAAATGTGCATCGAGTGTTCCTTCGAAACACTGTGTGGCCCGACCACCGTGCAGCAACCGTTTGCTCAATGGAACCTCCGTATGAATGAACTTTATGACTGGTTTTTATTTTTATGGGTGCTGATGATTTTATTTCGATCTTGCCGGCAGAACCGGTATTTATGAGTACCCTTCTGAAATTCGGAAGGTTTCTTTGATCTCTTCATCGTGATTTTTTGCTTGTGCCAAAGAACCGTGAAGAGAACGCGTGAAACATTCGATTGTTCTTTAAACTTGAATTTCCCGAGTTTTTGCTGAAACTGATTGAAAAAAGAAACGAACTGAGAGTTGAAGTATCACTGTATGAAGGTACGAATAATACACAAGTTGTGTGGTTTTATTTATCCCGATTACAATTAATTTTCTGGGAAACAAGGTTTTAAATCGTTTTTGTATGAAAAATGAAATCGGCGCGTTCTTTGATGTGTTTATGTCAAGAGGATGAGTATTAACTTGTTGTGCAAAAAGTAAGTGATGTTCTGGTAGAAATGTACTTGAGGACTGTATTTTAATATTTTAGAAATTTGGGAAATTTGGGAAAATTGGAATTGTAGGTTTGAGAATTTGAAAATTTTTGGAATTTTGGGATTTCTAGAAAGTTTGGGATATTTGGAAAATTTTTGAATTTAGGGAAATTTAGGGAAACTTGGGAAAATTTCAATTTTGGAAAATTTGGGAAATTTGAGAAATTCGGGAATTTGGAAATTTGGGAGTATGGAAATTAGGGAATTTAGAAGTTTGTAAAATTGGAAATTTGAGAATGTGGAAATTGGGAAAAATGGGACATTGGAAATTTGGAAATTGGGGAATGTGGAAATTAGGGATTTTGGGAAAGTCTGAAGTTTGAGAAATTTGGGAATTTAGGAAAAATTGGAAAATTTGGGAAATTTAGAAAATTTGAGAATTTTATGAAATTTGGTAATTTGGTCAAAATATTAAATGAAGAAATTTAAAACCTCGAGCTCTAGAAATTTGAAAATTCCTTACACTCGTTCCGCAAAGAAACCGCATAACCATCTAATTCTCTAAATTCAAGCCCCGATAAAAATGTATAAACGAGATATACGATTAGCAGGCAGGATTAGCGGCAGACCTTTTGTTTGCTTCTCCACCGTTGCCTCTCATTACCTCCGAGAATGATTGTTTAATCCTATTCCTTCCTATTATCGGATTTTTAATCGAATTAAATCGATAAGACTCTATAAAGAGAAACCTCGATTATTTCCTCTATCCTCTCCTTTTCCCAAACCATTCAAAAAGAAAAAAATTCAATAAAGAACACGTCGAATGATCCACGAGTCAACATCTCGTGACAAAAACGCATTGATGGGCGTTTGAAAAGTTGCCGATTGACGGATCGAAACGGTCGAAAGCGTCTGATTAATAAATTCATAAATCACATTATTCAATCCGGAAACGTTGTGATGGACACGTTCGTTTCGACGTCGGGAATCGAAAGCGTTGCATTGTCTCCCGACTGCACCAAATGCAATTAATTCTCGTAATAAAATTACTTGGTCGCCAGTCGTCTGTTACATTAACCGCCCTTGCGCTTTTCACGAAGGGATGAAAAAATGGTGGATCTGATGGCTCTATGTTATCAAAGTGTGAAGATCGGTGACAAAGTTAACCTGAAACGCTATTCTGCATTTTTATATATTTTAAATTACATACATGCAATATTAAATTACACATGTAATTAGTTACGTCAATTATTGGGGGGATTAAACATAAACTTGTTCATTAGAGCAAGTGGTTTGCCATATAGTGTAACACACATTGACTGTATTATACAATCAGGGTTTTATTTTCCAAGAAAAATGTAACCTGACTTAACATTGGACCTGACACTTCTGATAATTTTTTTGTCAGAAGAAAATTTGTTCTTGAGCCTTGTTACAGAACGGAAATTTGTTCTTGAGCCTCGTTACAAAAAACTGGACCCCCAAGTGTCTCAACCCTTAAGAATATTTCATCTTCGTCAGAATATACTCTCTTTTGCATCAAAATATTAATGTTCATATAGTCGCAATTTTTATTTCTTTCAATATTAATAATTTGATGTCGATGGAAAGTTGATGTCAGTGGAATGTGACGTTTGTGGTCAGACACATTATTAAGAACAAGTCTTTTAATCTTGTATATATTGTCTCAATATTAAGATATTTAGTTTCTTTTTCAATAATTCAATCTGTATTGTCACTCTACTGTTTTAATAGTTCAATATTATTAAAATTCATACTGCTTTGAGTGTCAAGAACCGAATTTTTGATTTTACAGTAAAAGATAATTGTACACAATATTTATATAGTCGTTCAGTACCAATAAAGAATTTTACAAAAAATAAAATGAACTATTTCAGAGGTTATTGAAAATGTTAAAGTCTGTCTATTGAAATAATTGATTTAGAAAAACGAACGTGAATGAGAACAATGTGTGGTTAGATTCGTCGCACTTTTGCTCAGTTTCTACCACTAGCTCCCAACTCTAAATCGTTCCTTAACTTCCTGCCTAATGTAAACAGTGTTGAGGTAATTAAGGTCATCAAACTCGAGAAACGGTTTCCTTGAACGAGAGAGAACAGCAGGTCGCCACGTGTTATCGGACCAGAGTTTTTCCTCTTATTAGACCACTTTTCCCATTTGTTTCGCGAATGTTTGACTTTCTCTTACTGCGCCATTTTGAATACGGAACCCTGTCTTCGCGTTTAAACACTTTCAAACCTCACATTTTCCGATACTTTAATTCATGACTTCTACAACTTTCCAAATTTGTCAATTCGCAAATTTAAAAATCAAAATTTTGCATCTTTCTAACTCTCGAAATTTCTGACTCCCAGATTTTAAGAACTAAGAAATTTTGATTTCTAAAATATTTTAATAATATCTGTCATAATACCTGCCATTTTAATAATATTTTAACATGTGCCATAAATTTTCTACAAATTTTAATGATTGTAAGATAAAGCGTTCGAAAAGCGAATCCTTGCAAAACTTTTAATTAGTTTAATATTCAAGATAAAAGTGAAGCGTGTGAAACCCCCAGCAAAAGATAAATGATTCTTTTATTTAATAATCCTAATTGAAACGTTAATTAAAACAGGTTCTTTAATCAGCGGATAATTACTTCCGGTAAAATGTGAGAATTAAAGTAATCGAATCTCGATGGAAATAAATGTGTATTGAATTACTGTGAGATACCGTGTATTGCAATTGGTCTTCGCAACGAAGATTATTGAAAGAGCAGACGCCGACGGGTAGAGGCAGTTTGAAAATTGTCAGCAAAAATAATTAATCGTTAAATTTGTAAATGTTCATTTATTTAACATTCGTAAAATAACCATCAGAAGATATTTTATGCTCGGAATTATTTGTCTTAACAGATTTTTTCGCGCCTGCAATTATACGAATCGTCCTTTCATAATTAACAACTTTTTAAACACAAATGGACGCATTATCCTGGTATCACTTTAAATTTTAATAAGGGATGTCTTTTATGCATGTAAAAAAAATAGAGTAAAATAACACGTGAATTATAAGCATTTAGATCCACCGATCTTTTAATTCCAAAACAAACTTTGAAATGACACTAAAGCGGTCATTTATCCTTCTGAAATATCGTTATTACCTCTCGCATTTAAAATAGATAAAATTAGGTTAATTAATTATGCGTGGTGGAAAATTTTGCAAATACTTTTTAGCGTGTGTAGGATATTAGGTTCCATTACTCACTCAGCGAATATGAAATGTATGTTTAACATCGCGTATCTGACAAAAATCCTCTCATATAATCGTGCTTTAACACATAATTAATTAAACGTAACGTAACAAGAATTATATTAATCGCAACTACAGTTAGAATCACGTTTCAAGTACCATCATTTGCCGTCGCTGTTCAACCTATCTTCAAAACTGTTTATTAACTTTTTGATTTTCTGGTTAATTTAGGGAAGATTAGTGCTCTATTTTTATAATTTATCCCCTGTATTTGCTGAATATCATTCTTTTCGTATATCTTTTTACCCCTTTGGTAAATAAAAAATAACACACAGTGAATTACCTATTCTTCAACATCGAAATGACTCTAATTAAAAATTGATAAATATAAACAATAAACTACCTCCAATTCCTATTCAGAAGATATCTGAAGTTTGACATCAAAGACATTTCACTCTTCCTCAAGTGTCAAACACCGGAATGTTTAACCTGTCTATTAAGAAGAAATTACCTCGTCATGCCTAGAATATGCTAATACAATTACTGAACAATTTCTATGAATTAACTCCTCTTTACTATCTCTTCGTTACACGTGTCACGAAAGTGCCACTTTCTTCATAAAAAAGCGACTTAACATCATTAACTTCACTTCCCTACCTTGTCTGTACCCAAGAGCCAAGTCACATTTTTTTAACAAATGTTCAAAACAATTTTTCCACCGTTAAATAATTGAAACCGAAGAATTTGATGCAAAAGTACACTTTGGCTCTAAGGTTCGGAACTTCTGAACACACGCGAACCTCCACCACAACTTCAACCCCCGGACAAATAATTATGGACGTGTCCAAGTGATCAGAAATATCCACAAGAAGTATCCTTTTTCGTCGGCACCGTCGAGAACACATCCAAACCGCATCGGGTACCATTGACACGTCAAAGGGTTACTTACCGGAAATACTTACCGCGAACCACCCTCGC